GATGAGTTCCTTTAGAAAAACAAAAATAACCTAAACCTACTACAGCTTGAAGGTTTTCAAAACTTATTAAGTGGTCTTGATGAATTTTGAAAGAGAAATCAATTGTGTTTCTTCATAAAAATCATCATATAGAAATTTTTTCTTCTGCTATCTTGAAAAGTACAGATATAATTCGTGCTATACCAAGTTTTTATAGAAAGCTGTTATTTTCAAACGTTATAATAAGTGGTTTTAACAGAGAAAGTGAAATAATTTGGTATAATTTAGTAAGTATAAATTATATTTTCATGTGTTTAATAAAACAATAAATAATGGTAAAAATTAGTTAATAACGATAATAAGCAAAATAACTCTCGAAGTTAGAATATATATTTATTTCTACTAACTTCAAGAGTAATATATATAACTAATATAAATATTTCTTTAAAGATATTAATAATATTCAAGTTTTATAAAGAGATAAATAAAGAACCACTTGAACTTGCTTTAGTCCGCTGGCATGAGGGAGATAGTGAATTATAGGGATGTCCAAAATTAACGTTGCTCAAATACTATAGTTGTATACTATTAGAGAGTATAGATAGAACTGTTCATATAGTTCCGAGATTTAATAAAACGAATAAATATCTAGTGAACTGCTTTATGTTCTAAATTAGTATGCACCAAATAAATTAAAGTGTATATTATATTAAAGTGTATATGTTATAATTATTATACGTAGTATGTATAATTATACATAATATGTAATGATAGATATCAATAATCGTACATGAGCGATAAAATTAGAAACAATAATATTTAATATATATTTGTATATATCGATTATTTACATATATTGAATTTTATCGATACATAAGATATATATCAATAGTTATCTATATATCGATATTTATTGAAATATTTAATAACGATAAATATTATTTAATAGCTATATATTGATTATTATCTATATATCGATATATATTGATAATTAATATATATTGATATATATTTATTTTATCGATATATATCGATTATTTTTAATCAATATATATCGATTAATCGTTATATATCAATATATATCTTGAGATAAATTTTGCTGATACTATACAAATAATGGTCAGGTAAGAAAGGAACTTAATTATTATAAGTCATGTGTGAGATAGATTCTCATAATTTTTAAATATAAAGTTATGTGAAAGGATATAATAAGTATTATACTTATTGATAAAAATACAAAGTATTTATCTAATTTGAGACTAGCGTACGTAAAATACTTTAAATGTTTTGCTCAGGTATATAATATGTTAATTGATTTGTTTATTTTAAACTAACTCATGAAATGCAAATAATACTGTTATAGAATAGTTGCTGCAAGGGCAAATGTAATTGGAAGGACCACATCGCAGTTTTTAAGAACAAACCACTTAATCTATGTGATATTAAATGTAGTAGAAATTATGATCCTGAATATATTAGAAAAAAACTATATCGAATAGCAAAAGTAATCAGAAAAGAAATCGCAAGTAGATTTACAAATACAACACTATCAATGTTGGCAACAGATAAATTTAAAAACTATTTTAAATTTAAAAAAAAAACAGCTATTATATTATCTATTTGCATATTTTTAGAATTTATAAACAATGCAAAGGATTTAATGAAACTGCTAGTATACTTGCAAATCAAGTTCAATCAATTTCTATCTAATTTACATCTAATATTAAGACAATTCAAAATGCTCTTAAGTATAATAAAAAGTTATACTATTCAAGTACTTTAGAGTTTAAGAAGGTGATAATTTGAGAGTTTTTATTTAGTTATTTATTTATTATTTATTTATTTATTTATTTATTTTTGTTTGGATTAACAGATTAGTTCTTTAATGAATACTTACAAAGCTAAAGATATTATAATATCAAAACAATATGGTATTAAGAATGTGCAAGATCCCAAGGAACAAGCTGTGCTTCTTGGTATCGCATCCTCAATTATGCCAATATTATTGACCAAATATTCAGATCTTCTTGTAGTAGATTCTACTAGATACCATAACTGTTTAAACTTTCTGAATATAATCTTTATGATCAGATCAGATAAACCCCATAGTCAAATTATAGCTATATTTATAAGTAACAGAGAAATGATACTAGTTGTTAACCTGATGTTCAAATCAGTAAATGTTTTTTTGATTATTTTCCTAGATTCTACTAGGTAATATTGAACTCTGGCTATTCTTAGTTAATTCAGTATAGTGCTATAAATAACATTTAACTAAACCCTAAGTGGTTGACTCTAGACAAATAGGACTTATATCTTGTAGCAGCTTTCCAAATATGCAAGCAATTTTATATAACTGGTATGAAGATAAGTTTTTAAATTTTTTTTTTTTTTTAATATTGCATTTTTATAATATTTATATTTTATATTCTTTTAGCTGATGCTTTCAAAGAATGGTTTACAAAAAATCTAAATGATCAATGGCTTAGAAATTGAATATTCTACCAATTCAGATTCATTAAACGATCCTGAAATCAGGAAGAATTTAATGAAAGGAAAGTTACTATTTTAAATATAGAGAAACTTCAGGATGCTGTTGGGATAATGAAGTCAAATACTGCGAGGATTATTACATCTTATTTTCAAATATATTGGTTTGGTAATTGGGTTGGTCAATAAATATAGTTTACTTTATAATTGGTTTTTATATATTTTATTAGTAATTTTATAATGTAAACTCAAGAATTCATTGTGTCAAACATTTTATTAGTAATTGTCACGGCTGAAGCTGGAAATGGCTGAAGCTAGAAATTAGAGGTCTCGATTTAAAACTATAAACCCTGCTAAAATCCAACTATACTCTTTTATTATAAACCCTAACCCTAAATTCTAATCTAACTATAAAAAAAAATCGTACAAAATGCATTCCAAAATTTTTTGTAAATTTCATATTAAAATATTTAAAATTTCCAGCTTTAGCCATTTCCAGCTTCAGCCACGACAGTAATTTAATAATATGTCAAGAAATTTTATATAGATTGGTTCTGTATTTAAATTTTTCTGTATTAAAAATTCGCAAAGAATAACTGATTTTCTTTACATTTTGTAATAAATACCTGGCTAGATTATAAGCATGATAATTGTTCTATGAAAACAAACATGCTATTAGAAAATTACTTTAAGAAAGATATGTTAATTTATTATTGAAAAAGATACATTAAATCTTTATATGCTAATTTTAAAAAAATCAGAATATTGATGCATGTTGATGCTAGAAAAATAGAAAGGTTAGTTAAAATATGTCTTTTTTTTTATAAAATATCAAATAATCTTTTCTATATAGGTTCTGAAAAGAAGAAGATAAACCTTCTACAAAATTGAAATTGCAACGAGAAAAGTAAAAAATTATAAAACAGGGTGAATCATTATACAAAAAAAATCATATTCAAAGTAGGCATATATTATATTATATAAATTCTTTTATATTTACTAGTACAATAATTTTATTTAATCTCTTTAATTTAGAAATTGATCAAAATTTCTGGAATGTGTTTTAATTCAATATAAATGAAGGTATTCAGCATGCTGCTGCTACTGAACTAGATGATGATGATGTCTAGCATGCTGCTACTGAACTAAACGATGATGAACTAGATGACAATAATATTCAACATGCTGCTTCTGAACTAGACAATAATAATGTTAGTAAAGAAAGCTCAAGATTATCTGAGAGCTAAGAAATAAAAACTCCGAAACAAATAATGACTATTTTATTAAACAGCATAAAAAGTTATTATATATTATTCACAAAAATGAAAAATTTGCTTGCCCTTGTAGTTTCAACATTATTTATAATTATGATTACTAGGATATTGCAGCTATTCACTTCTTTATCAATGAGTTTGAAGCACAAAACTATGGACTATTTTTTTTTTTTTTTCCCCGTTTAAAGGCCAGGTACTATGGCTGATTTTTTATTATGAGTCAACGTAATATTTGTTACATGAGTGAGGATACAACTAGCCACACGTGCACTTTGGTGTCTAATTTAAGTAGTCCGCTCAAAAGTTCTACACTAGCTGCCATATCTACAACTCAACTACGGAAGTTGCCTATTTAAACCCTCTGACTTACGATCCTCCTATTACTAACCCGATTCACTACATATTGCAG